GTTTACTTTCATGTGATATCAGTGATATACTGATAATTTGTGCATTCTGTTAAATTACCTTTTCTTTTAGTGGATAGAAATCATTCTCTAATGTTGCATTCTGCTGTCTCACCTTTTCTTGTAGTGGATACAAATGTGGATCTTTTCCAGTCAGTATGCCAAGAAACTGTCTTCCAAATTTCCTGCCAGAGACCAGTCAGTTCTTCCAGTTCTACACCAGCTTGTTGAAGCATTTCTATTGGTATTCCACCAAGCCTTAGAGACTTGTTTTTAACTAAACCTTACATGGCAATTTGTACTTCATCCTTTAGTACTACTGACTCTTGTTCATATGCTAACTTTAAATGGCTGAATATTGACTAATTTTGGTGGGGGGAGCTGCACAGGGATGTTTTATTCTTTCCATCTTCTTGTTATGCTTCTTGCATCATTAAATCTTTTTTCTATAGAATATTCCAAAATGGCATTTCAAGGCTTAAATTTTTTCTTGAGTTCTTCCAGTCTAAGATGTGCTAAAGGTGTTATTTTTGGTTTTCTAACATTAAGTATTTGCACATTTCATTATAATATTTCACTTTGTTTTCTTGAGTTGTCCTATTTTTTATTCATCTCTTTAACTCCATCGTTTCTTCCATTTGCCTTAGTTACTCATTAATCACAAGTCTCAGAGTCTCATCTGACCTCTGTTTTTTCACCCATCTTTTTAATGATCTTTTTCCTTCTTCATGCATTATGTGTTGGATATTATCCTACAGATCATCAAGTCCCCTGTCACTAGTTTTTAATGGAGCTAATATATTTTTGAGATGTTTTCCGAATTCAGGTGAGATAGACTCAAGGTGGTATTTTGGCTCTGTGGACTTGTTTTACTTTTCTTCAACTTCTACCTTAACTCGTGTAAGAGCAATAGAGGGTCTGCTCCACAGTTGAGCCCTGGCTTTGATTTAGCTCCTGATATTGAGCTTCTCCTGGGTCTATTCCCATGGATGTAGTCAATTTGATGTCTATACTTTCCATCTTGAGAAGTCCATTGCATTGCTTTGTATGGTTGAAAAATAGATATTTGCTACAAACAAGTTGTTGGTCTTGAACAATTCTCTCAGGCAATTTTTTGCTTTGATTCTATCTCCATGACCATATTTTCCAACTACTGTTCCTTCCCCTTTGTTTTCAAATTTTGCATTCCTATCATCAATAATTATCAACCATCTTGATTGCATCTTTGAAGCATTTCAGACTGAAGAAGTTTATAGAATTCTTCAGTTTCGCCCTCACTAAATGTAGTGGTTGGTGCATAAATTTTAATAATTGTTGCATTGATTGGATTTATTTTTATATTGATAAATATGATCCTTTAACAGGTGACACTGTACTTCAAGATAGATCTTGAAATTTTCTTTTGGACATTAAATGCAACACCTTGCTCTTGTATGTGTCAATGTGTAGTAAACCACATGATTTTCTATTCAAAATGACCACTCATAGTCTACTTCTAGGCTCACTAACATCTCAAATACTATTGTGTCCACTTCATTTTTAATGACTCATAATATTCCTAGTGTTATATTATGCTGATACAGAGTTTCAAATATTAATCGACATTTTCATCTGTTTTTTCTCATTATGAGTCATGCCTCATCAGAAAATGAAGATTCTGAAGGCTTTATTCCATCATTGGCACTGTGGTTTACTCCACTTTGAGATGGCAATGCTTCCTTAGTCATATTTTGAGTGCCTTCTGACCTGAAGGGCATGATCTCTAACAACGTTTGGCTTCTTTTCTTTTTTTTTAAATCGTTTTATTAGGGGCTCATACAACTCTTATCACACTCCATTCATACATCAATTGTGTAAAGCACATTTGTACATTCATTGCCCTCAGCATTCTCAAAACATTTGCTCTCCACTTAAGCCCCTGGCATCAGGTCCTCATTCTTTCTCCTCCCTCCCTACTCCTCCCTCCCTCATGAACCCTTGATATTTATAAATTATTATTTTGTCATACCTTGTCCTGTCTGACGACTCCCATCACCCACTTTTCTGTTGTCTGTCCCCCAGGGAGGAAGTCACACGTAGATCCTTGTAATCTGTTGCCCATTTCCAACCCACCCTCCTTCTACCCTCCCAGTATCACCACTCACACCACTGGTCCTGAAGGGATCATCCTGAATTCTCTATGTTTCCAGTTCCTATCTGTACCAGAGGAAAGTTGTATTTTTCATCATTGCTACATCGCACCCTGATTGGCTCATCTCCTCCCCGAAAGCCTTCTGTAAGGGATGTCCAGTGGCCTACTAATGGGTTTTGGGTCTCTACTCCACACTCCCCCACTCATTCACTATGGTAAGATTTTTTGTTCTGATGATGCCTGATACCTGATCCCTTTGACACCTTGTGATCACACAGGCTGGTGTGCTTCTTCCATGTGGGCTTTGTTGCTTCTCAGCTTGATGGCCGCTTGATTACCTTCAAGCCTTTAAGACCCCAGATGCTATATTTTTTGATAGTGGGGCGCCATCAGCTTTCTTCGCCACATTTGCTTATGCACCCATTTGTCTTCAGCGATCGTATCATGGAGGTGAGCACACAATGATATGATTTTTTGTTCTTTGATGCCTGATACCTGATCCCTTTGGCACCTCGTGATCACTCAGGCTGGTGTTCTTCTTCCATGTGGGCTTTGTCACTTCTGAGCTAGAGGCTTCTTTACATGAGGTTTCAGGCTCTGACAATGTTTCCGGTCTGTCTATGAAATATTCAGTAGCAAATTCCTCAGAACTGGATAAACGATTCCTTCTTTGTTGTCTGTGCTTATACTGGAAGCTCTTCTCAAACATCTTTCTTGCATGAACCTGCTGATATTTGAAAATCAGTGACATAGCCATTAATATCACAGCAACACACAAGCCATCATAATGTGACAAACTGACAGACAAGTGGTGGATCACTTAAAACCATCTCATGGTTTAGGAAGCTAGAAGTCTGAATTTAAGATGCTGGCTTTGGGGGAAGGTACTTTTCATCAACCTTCCACAGAGTCTAGGAGTTTCTCAGTGACATCTGTCTAGTCAGGGACATCTATCTAGTTCAATGGATGTGCTCCCCTCTGTTTTTATTTGTTGACGGTAATTAGGTCCTCACTCTTCCCTTGCTTACGTATTTTATATATCAAAATATACAGATTCAACATACAGCCTAATGCTGTAGATTGTACCCTGCCTTGTTAACATAAATTCCATAATCCTGCTTCTTCATAGAATTTAGGATTTCCACATAGATATATCAAATTGCCAAATGTAGAATAATTCCATAACACTGAGAATCATCTCAAGTTGATAGCGTATTTCAAAGTGACACATTTCAATACATCACTGCATCCAACAAAATTAATGCCCTGAAACACCCAGGGAATATCCATTATCTATAATCATATTTTATTTTGTGTCTGTGTGTGTGCAGGTGGCTTTTTTTTTTTTTGCTTTATATTACTGGTACTCATATAATTCTCTAGAATTATCTTACTTAGGTATCATTTAATGTATATTACTCAACTACTGTTCAATTACCAATTTTGTGCTGTGTACATACATATATTTTAGTAGATTCTCTCATTCTCTCTCTCATTTATATCCTAATTTCTCTTTACAAGAAAGAGGAGACGATTTTTAAAAAGTAATTTGATTTTTATTGATTCAGATTAAAGTCTTCTAAATGTCAATCAGTTAACAGCATAATTTTTATGTTACTGTGTACTAGCAATTAGAGACATGACAGCAAGTAATGAATATTCTCTCATGAAGATCATATTCCGGTCAATAAAGACATGATTGCATTTTGTAAAATACCATCACTCATTTTACAGACCTGGGAGAGTCTCACTGACATTTTCCATGTTTGCAGTCTGAGAGTATCTATGAACAGGTTTCTTTATTCCAGGATATTGGCCCCTTTGGAGATAGATGAGCTCAAATTTTCAAATATGCAGTTGTTTTTTCTCAAACAACCCAAAAAATCTAAGATAAAAAGAAAAAAAATTAAACATATTATCACTATTAGATCTTATTAGATCTGTGCTACCATTTTTATTGAATCCAAATTTGTCAACATCTATTTACAATTTGGGCTTTCCAATGGTGGTGATTTAATTTATGTAAGTGGGTGTTTCTGGGTGGTTGGAGAGAGAGGAAAAAATAGGAAGAGTCTAAACTGAACATTCCGCAAGCAGCTACTCAGTAACAGGATTCCAGTGACCCACTGAATGCTGCAACGCCAGGATGAGTCTGATTGTCACAACCTTAAGGGCCAGGTCGGAAGGAGTGTTTGATTCTCTTTCATCTTCACTTTCTCCTTTCCACATAGATTCTGGCAGAAATTCTCTGAAGTCTGAGGAACAACTATAGGAGCTAATGACCCGTATATTGACATTTGTGTGAAACTGCTTTGTCCTGCTAATTGGTTTTGGCTCATAAGCCATTGATGTCCAGTTAATTCCAGCTCATAGCAACTTTACTGAGCAGAGTAGTTCTTTGCCATATGGCTTCTAAGGTTGTAAATACGTATGGAAACAGACAGTCACCTATTTCTTGCACAGGTTCAAACTTCTGACCTTTCCAAAGGCAGCCACGAATTAGCTCTTCTGGGTGTCTTCGAAATGCAAAGCAAACTCTTTTCTATTTGTGTGTAGCAGAGATTTCCACCAAGGCTTCTGTTAATAGTTAATATTCATAGCTAATAGTTAATTTTAATAGTCAATGTTCCCTTTGAAATTGTCATTAAAGAACAACACACCTTGCAGGACAAGTATATTTCCAAACTGCTTTCAAATATATTTTCTGAGTAAAATTCTTGAAATAAGAGAAGGAAAACAACATTTATTTTTTATCACAATTCTTTCAATCCCTTTCAAAGAATAACTCTGCAGAAAATTGTTGTGGAAAAGCCAGCAGACTTTGCTAACTGGAGGCGTCAGATGTGCTAATTCAGAGTATTTTATGACTTACCTCGATACCTCTTCAAATGCGCCTCTCTGCCAATATTCGTCAAATGACAAAAGCAGAGGTAAATCTACATTATCAACCCGAAGACGTTGAGCACTCATGGACAAAAGGAGTACAGATAACTCGCAGGCTTTCTGTTTGTAATGTTTAAGAAATGCAGCTTGTCTTATCTTCCTATAATCCTGAAGTATACTTAACTGACTCAACTCCAGAGGTACAAGAATTGATTGAAATCTTTGCTACACAAAAAAAGAAAAGCTTTTGCATTTTGAAGACAGCTTTAATTATATATAGATATAGATATAGTCACAAAATACTTTTGGTCCTTAGTGTTGTTAGAATGAATTAAATAAGAGATGTCATAGTAGACAAGTTGGTAAGACTTGAAGTTCCATGTTCTTGAAAAAAGATGCTTCTAGTAGCTCATTCTCACTTTCTTCCAAGTCTTCACTGCTGTTAGCGGCTGAGTTTGATGTATTTTCACCTTTTGTAGGTAGAGAATGTCTTCATAGTGACAGGACTTATCACCGCTTTCTCACTTTCTTTATAACAGTTAATCTCATTCTTCTAAGTCTCTTCACCTGCTAACCTCACCTTTACCTGTCTTTCAACATAAAGGATATTTGATCATTTGGTCACTTTCTTTAGAAATGTGGAAATGAATCATTAAATGAGCGCTCCAGTACAACCTGTGTAGAGTATGTGGTATTGTCTATAGCTAACATGTAGTGTGTTGGCTTTAATTTTTGCTAAAGTGTCTTCTTCAGAGTAGAATTCAATCCGTGTTTGTTTTCTAGTATCAGTTCTGTCCCTACATCAGCATTGTTTTATAGTTTCTGCATACTTGTTCAAACCCAGTGCCAGTAGGTTGATTTCTGCTCATAGCAACCCTATGGAGCATCACAGAGCTGCCCCTACAAGGCTATAAGTCTCTGCAGCAGCAGACTGCCACGCCTTTCTTAGCTTCAGGGGAGCTGCTGCATTCTGAGGATAGTAATTATTTCATGGCATCTAGCAATGACCTTTTACATATAAATGGTCACATATTCATTATATCTTCATCAAAGTGCCCGTGTAAATGACACAATCATTTTATTTATCAACTGTACCATATAGATTAATAAAAAACCTACCAGTTTCATTCTAATTAATTAAAAGTTGTTCAGCATAAGTCAACAATCCATCTATCTATCAGTTTTATAATACCACCAACTAATTATCAATTGCCATTTAATCAATTATGAATCATGGGAATGTATGCTTATTAGAGTCCAGCTATGCTCCACAGGGTTTTAAATGACTGTCACCTTTTCCAAGTATAATGCCAAGCCTGTCTCCATAGGAGCCTCTGCATAGATTCTAATGACCAGTCTTTCTTTTAACAGCTGAGCACAGAATCATTCATGCCACCCAGTGGCATACACTAATCATTCATAAAAAATATTTTTTTATCTTTTGTGCAATTTTTCTCTTATTGATAATGAATTTCTAAAACATGAAATATGGTTTTTGTTTCCTCATAGTTTATAAATGTTACCCTTTAAAACGATTGCTTTTTCTTGTATATTTAACTTAATTTTATTACCCTCTTATTAAGTGCCAGGAAAAATCCCTGGTGGCCTAGGGTTGAAAGTATTTATCAGAAACATGGTAGCTCAGCAGTATGAACCCACCAGCTGCTTCATAGAAGAGAGATGTGGCAAGCTACTTCTATAACGATTAACAGTCTTGTGAACCCTGCCTTGCACTTCTACTCTGGCCTATAGGTTCTCTATGAATCAGAATCAACCTGATGACAAGTTTGACACTGTTTTTGTTCTATGGATTGGTACGTGCACTAAACCAAAAAACTTTAGGTCAATGCTGTCTCACAGTGACCCCCGCCCCTCCCATGCGTTTCCAAGGCTGTAACTGTTTATGGGAGTAGAATGTCCAGTATCGATTCTGTGAAGCGTCTGCTTGTTTTTGAACTGCTGACCATGCAGATAGTAGCCCAATGCATAACCACTACACCAGCAGGGCTTCTAGTGCCTGCTCTCAGCATGATTAAAAAGAGAGCAGTAAAAAAGTCTCACTGCCTAGTTTCATGAAACTTAGAATACGATGAGGAAATGTTGGCAAATAAAAATATATCCAAATTTAGGGAACTATTCTTGTGCATAGATTAAAAATATAATTTCCAAGGCCTGATGAAATCAACAAAGTTTTTGATGGACAGAAGTAAACTTTCAAGGGTCACTTTATTAATTATGTAATATTCTATTCAATAATAGAATACATAACATGCTAGTACTTTATTATCTAATATATTCTTGGTGTCTAGAACACCAGTTATTGAATTATTGACTCTCTTTCAATGAATTCCTCCACATTAACGCTTCATGATAAAATGCTTCAAAGTTTATTTTAAAAAATCATTATTTTTAATTATATTTTCTTCTGTATTAGAGCTTAAATTTCCAAGCCTATGCTTGCAAAAGGCTATGGTCCACATTGGAAGCCCTAAGTCCATTTGAGTCTCCACATACATGCGGCCTCCATTAACTGCAAGCATGAATAATTGTTCCCTCATGCAGAATACACTGCACAGTGGTCAGTGTCCCCAACCTGGGCCTGAAAAGAGTGACGTAATCCTTAGGGGCTTTCCTAGATATGCCCTTAATAGAAATTGGCGTGCTAAGATCCACTGGCCGAGGCACTTTCTGATAGCTTTGATCAGAGGACCAAGAACCAATTTTGCAAATACTTCTGTCTAATATAATACATGTATCTTAATTGTGGTCCTGTCACCCCTTCTGAAGTTCCACCAACTATGTTAGGTACCAACAACCATGCTTTTGAGACACTTTCTTTGGCTTCCCAGGTGCTGTTTGAGTTTCGGAATTTCCTCAGTTGTTTAGACATCATTATGACCTCAGCTAATGGTGTCCCTCATCTGAATGATGTGTTTCTGTTTAAAATTCAATACGTCTTCACAATAAATTATATTGGAGAGCTGTGATCCCTTTTGTACCCTAAAAGTTGGGATAATTGGGCAGAATTTGAAAGCTGTCTTTCCTGACAGGCTCTCCAGGCAGTTGAGGAGCTGTTGAAGTTCTCCTGGATTATTGGTTCATTGTTGAGCAGAGGGGTAGTACAAGAGTAATGGATTTTAGTGTCTGTTTTCCTTTTTAAAATGAACTTGGCGGGGAGTGGGGGGGGCAATAGGATCAGTAAGCAAATCTAAGATAAAATATACTGAATATATGTCATAAAAATAGAATAGGGTCTGCGTACTGTGGTGAATGAAATTGCATAAGCAGGGCCCTTATATCCATACCCCTTAATTCCTGTCCACTGACTGGGTGGGGTATATTTGCAAAATTAGATGTGTGAAATATTCAAAGAAGAGAGCGGTCAGTTTCATCATTTCTCTGAATAAAAAAGAGCCACTGGAGAAGCAGAGAGAGAGAATCCCATGCTCATCAAGAAGAACTGCCAGTGGATCAAGATCCCTGTTTACAGTGACAGAGGCAGCAGAGACCGCAGAGGCTGCCTCACTCAGACCATGAGACAGAGCAATGGAGCACACAAAGACCATGAAGCAGAGTGACAGGCTTCCCAGTACACAGAATAAGGAAATGGTTAAGGGACAAAGTAACTGAGGGGCTAAGAATTAGAGGGGGACATGCAGCTCCGGTATGGCTAAACCGAGGTACTGAGGGGAACAAGAGTACCTTACCATTCTCTGATTCTGACTGGGGTGTTGGTGTGGTATGTGCTGTCGAGTCAGTACAACAGAACAAAAGCACCACTCTGACAAGGAGTATGCTCTTTCCCATGGCTGCATCCTCTGTCTCACTTCATCTTGCCCAGGGTCTTCCTCTTTGTCGCTTCCCCTTGACTTTACCAAGCATGATGTCCTTTTGAGGGACTGGTATCCCCTCATAACATGCCTGAAGTGTCTGAGATAAAATAATACCATAGTTTCTTCTAAGAAGCATTCTTGCAGTCCATGGCACTTTAAATATTTTTCACCGGCAACAAAATTAAAAAAGCATTGATACTTTTTGGCTTCCCTCATTCACTGTCCAAATTTCACATTCATATTAGCAATGGAAAATAGCCTATCTTGGGTGACGGACATCTTAGTCCACAAAGCAAGTTCCATGTTTTTCAATTCCTTGAAGAGTTCTTGCGCAGAAGTCTTACTCAATGAAATACATCCTTTGACTTCTTGACTGATGAGCACTGATTACGGATTTAAGTGAGATGAAATCATTGACAGCTTCAATCTGTTTTCCTTCATGATGTTGCCTAGTGATCCAGTTTTGAAGACTTTTCTTTACATCGAGCTGTAATCCATATTGAAGGCTTCAATTCTTGATCTTCATCTATAAATGCTTCAATCCCTCCTCACTTTCAGCAAGTAAGATTGTTTCAGGTGCACATTGAAGATTGTTAATAAACTTTTCTTCACACCGGATGCTGCATTGTTTGTCGTATGGTCTAGCTTCCCTGATGATTTGCTCAGCACACAGATTGAATAGGTATGTTGAGTGGATACATCTCTGAGGCACATTTTCCTTGATTTTAAAAAATTCATGAAAAAAACAAGACAGGAAAGGAAGAAAAGATCAACATGGATGTCAGAGGAGACTGAAATTTGGTTTTAGTCAGGGTTTTATCCTCTCACCAAACTTATTCAAAGTGAATGCTGAGCAAATAATCAGAGAAACTTCATTATAAGAAGAAAAAGGCAGCGTTGGGATTGGAGGAAGGCTTATTAATAACCTGCAGTATGCAAATGACATAACCTTGATTGCAGAAATTGAGGAGGATTTGAAGAACTTGCTGATGAGGATTTCAGCTTTCAGTATGGATTAGAATTCAATATAAAGAAACAAAAATCCTCACAAGTGGAAGAACAGGTACATCATGAGAACTAAATGGAAAAAAAGAATGAAGTTGTCAAGTATTTCATCTTGCTTAGATCCACAATCGATACTCATGGAAGCAACATTTGAGAGATCAAATGACAGCATGCCTTGGGTAAATCTATTGCACAAGAAGTCTTTAAACTGTTTTAAAGGAAGGATGTTACTGTGAGGACTAAGGTAAA